TTTGATTGGTTAATTATCACGGGCAATCACGGGCAGATCGACAAAATTAACCAATCATATGAATGTCTTCCTATGAATGTACGACGGAGTATCCAGGTGAGACCGTCCCAAATTAGGTAATTATTCCGAATAGTTACACAAGTGTCAAAGAAAATTTTTTTATACGTTTTACAATACTTTTTCAGGGAGTTCAGGTAACCTAACTCTTCTAAGAAGCGTTAGAAAGTGTTCTAAGTAAATTTGAAGCCTTCATACTGTACTATAACATATTTTCTTAATCCCTCTTAATCCCACAGCCTTCATGTTCAATATGTCTGACAAAATCAAGTCTAAAAGTAAGCAATGTGAGGAATGCAGTATCTCTGATTCTTGTAAATTCCGTTCGTTAAAGAACGAAAAATGGAGAGAGGCTGAAAGAAATGGCTTGGTAAAGGTAACGTGGAAAGATGGTATTATGCTATATCATAAGTGTTATATGGATTTAGTAGAAAATCCATTACAAAGAATTAAGAAAGGTACTAAACGTGTAAGAGTCTCAGTTGAAGAAATAGGGAACGAAATAGAACCAAGAGAAGCAGAAGAAATTCAAGTCAGTAGAGCTATATTAGAAGAAGGGGTAGAAGTCGTATACGAGAATGAAGAAGATACTATAATTAGAGAAGAAATTGAAGCTATAATTAGGAAAAATATAATGAATGAAGAATTAGAAAGTGCTGATGAAGAAGAAGCAGATTTCACCGCCGAGCAAGAGGTAGAATCTATTGACGAAGAAGAGATACGTATAATTAACCTTGTTGGAGTTATAAAGGCAATGGCAAGAATCTTTTACGAGAGGGAACATGTACAAAAAGAGGGACCCATATATTCATTCGACGAAATGCGAAAATTACTTCCACAAATCGACTCAAGCTTGAAGGATTTTTTTGACCAACTTTATTTGTTAGCTTGGCCATTTCAACGTTATGAGAAGACAATGGGGCGTATGAAAAAATTAATGGTGTTTTTGTGTTATCTCCTTGCGTCGTTAAATAATTCAAAGATTAACTCTTTTAAATTTGATTTAGGATACTATTTAGATTCAGTAGGTACAAGTAATGAAGGTCTGAATACATTAGCCAATATTGGAATAACCACAACTGTAAGGGTAGTTGATCATAAGAAAAGACAGTTTTCGGCGGCGCATGAAGAATATGTGGAGAAGGTTCTTGAAAATCAGTTAGGCTTCTATAGTTTTTTTTTTTTTTTGGATTTAGTTTTTTTTTTTTTTGATATTCTTTATCTTTTTATATTACTTTTTTAGTTATAGTGAAAGTGCTCTCATGTTAAATGTCGATGATTATCATAACATTCACGTTCAACGACAGCCTGATACTACCAGTATATCTTGGGCGGCACATATGGCGACAATTATTGCAAATCTGTGCCCCATATCGGCGATACCACGTAACGGAGCACTCAACCCAAAGATCGTTGATGATGAGCTAATTTTGAAGCATCTTGATGAATGATTTATTAAGAATCTTGGAGTTTCTTATCATGATCGTAGACAAAATTATATAGGTAAGTGTTCTGATGATAGTCTTATAGAACAACTAACTTTGCACAGTTATGACGATAGGTTGGCAAAAAAAAAGAGCGACAGGTATATACAGAATACCATTCTTTTCGACTTTGTTGAAAGTAGCTTGAAGAGTGTTGAAGATTATACAAAAGCACTTCAAGTCGTGTATAATCAAAGGCCGATGCAGGAGTATCTTTCCAAAAATGCAATTCCAATTGTTGCGGACTGGCCTGGGCAGTTTTTTATTCATAAAGCTATTGCACATCGGCTTCTTCTCAACAACGAAATAATCCTTTCATTCGTTACGGCATTCGTGCCCATGATGGGACCTTTTCACATTTTCTTAAACAGTCGTGAGCTCGTTTTTAAGAAGAATTAGTTTTTTTTAATAATGTTTATAAAGGTATTTTCGGGCAAAAAAAGGAACTTGGTAAGAAGCCACAGCCATGGCGAATTGATCTAATGCTTCACGTTATGCATATGGCGTGGCTTGATATATCTGATATTGTTTTTTCTAAGTTTGGGGTATTTTTTAGCAAGTTCTCTTTTGCTAAGTGGTTCAAGACTCATAGTATAGAATATGCTGAGCTGGTTTACGAAGAAAAAAATTTTCTTATCATTTTACTCTTACCTGACTATATACTATTTTTACATTGTCCGGGATTATTTGCTAGATAAGAGCAAACGGATATAATATCCAAATCATTACAATTACCTGAATTTTAGTCAGATAAGTATTTGCAATTTATTATTAATTTATCCCGTTATATAATATACTCCTCGTTATTAACAAACCAAATTTAGATACTATGAAAACTAATTTCGGATTTGGTGATCGGGTTTATTCATGAATTATTTAGTATGGGGGATTGCTCGATCTTTGCTAACAATCATGAATAAAAAATTATGCTTAAGGGTAGACCTGAAGGGTTATAACTCTGCAATAAGTGTGATTAGTAAGTTGGTTAGCATATATAACTTTACTAAAAAAATATCTAATAGGTCTAATTATTCTAAAGCAGGTCCAAAGTGGTAAAGCTGGGCTATAGTAAATGAATAAATAAGTTATGAACTAATCTAAATACTCCTATATAAGTCATAGATATCCTCAATTTCAGAAGTATTCTCATTAATTGCCTTGGGTGTGGGAGCTAGGGCTTCAGGTTCAGGTTTTGGATCTGCATTAGAATTGGATATATCACCCTTGGCATAATATATTTCAGAATTATGACAATCCATCTTATACCTCATTGCAACTCTGCTAAGGAATTCGAGATATTGCGAAGTTAGATTTTGATCACCATGAACTCTAAAAGCATGTTTATCTTCAATTTTTCTTAATCTTTTGGCTGTAATACCATATGATTTTAAAAATATACTAAATACTTCTGTACTGCATTTTTTATTAATACTATAGACAGGATTGCATAACTTTCTAGTTGCTATTGTATCTTAGATCCAGGTAAGCAATTCTTTTGCACGTTCTGGTTTCTTTTCTATAGATAGAAATTGCTGAGGTTCAGGATTATTTTTTGCTTCTCCTTTATTTTTAATATATCCAATACAATACCAAGAATAACTAGACTTGTACCATTTAGGAGGATTCGATTTACTGGGTTTATAATAGATAATATGAAGAGTGGCAACTTCGGCGGGTCTTATACTCAATATCATAATTATATCTGCAAGATCTTGCATAGTAGAGATTTTAGTAGTATTGATATTTTGAATTCTTCTAAGTCCTTCCTCTAAGGAAAAGTGTTTGGGAGTTTTAGGTGGATTGGGTAATCGCTGTTCGAGTTGCTTCTTTTGAATTTCGTTAGAAGCTCGAGTAACTTCTGGTAATTTGGCATATATATAAATTTGCTCGGAACCAACCCTAGCTTCTGCTAACTCTCTACAAAATTGTGAAATATGAGAACTGGCTGCCACAATTGCTTCATCTGTATTATTTTTTGACACAGCTAAGTCTAAAGCATGTAACCAAATATCCCACACATCTTTAGTTTTTGCACAATATTGAGCTCTTTCCTTGATAGTAAGCCTTTTTTTTTGTTGTTTGGAACCAGAGCTCTTATTTGATTTTCTTTGAATAAGCGCCAACAGAGAGCCTCTTTCACATCTTTACGAGCCTTCCAATCCGGTAGTATAGTACTAAGCTTATTGGCATAAGCACGTAATTGAAGCGGGTTTGATTTGACTGATAGATTATATTTATTGAGGACCTGATTCAAAATGAAGGTAAAGCTATTAGTTTTGGGTTTTCTAGTTTTTCGGACAGTTGCCATGATAGATATGTAAATAATCTATATCGATAAGTAGAATGTGATTATACATTAATCTACTTATTTTTTTCAATTCGAAATTAATTACGCTTTTTTCTCCTATACCCAGAAAAAAAAGATTATGTATATCTATAGAGTTACCAGATGTTGAGCTATATGATTATACTTCATGCATAGAATCAGGTATGTCAGGTATATAATTCTCAAATATAGCAATTTTTGCTTGTAATTCATCCTGTTTTTTTTTGTTGATAATTGACTCTTTTACGATATTTTCCTGAATGTTTCACACACATGCCATATGAAGAGGTAGTTGGCATACCACATTCACCACATGGAGTACGTAGTCGAATTTTCCAATGAAGAGCGCATCCTTCTTGACGATAGCAACCCTTTCCACAAATACGTCCATCAATAAAAGTATATGGACAAGAATAAAATCCCATGCTAATATCAATAATTAATAACTTTCAAATTTGCATATATGAAATAATTATTTTTCGAATTAAACTCTTTATAACAATATTTATATAAACAAATTCAAGATTACTACATATACTTTTTGTCAGATCAAACAACGCATATATACAAATCAATCAAATGAGTTTGTCTAGTGAAGCAAAAAAACATCTTCATAAATCATTACAGCAACAGTACTTAAATCAAAAGTTAGCCGAATATAATAAAGCAAAAAGGCTTTTTATGGGTTTAACGGATCTTGACTATAAACCTGCCCATACAGAACATACATTTTATAAATACTGGCTTGTATCTAATGATCGTGCCAGCTCAGCTAATAAAAATGATACTGCGCTTTTAGATGCATATCAACCCGAAGAGATCCATTCTCAATATATAGTTCAAGTAGCAAGAAAAGGCTATACAGTAATTGATTATCCTTCCGAAGTTTATAGAATACCTGATGCCCATGAATGTATTGATGGAAATCAACCCCTTCATTTAGTAATCGATATTGACGCAAGGCAAAAGCCTGATCCTTCTGATCTTAAACTTCCTTCTCTAGATAATGAAAAAATTAATCGTGAGGATTTGATATCTCGAATTTTAGTCGCTTGTGCAGATGCATTGAGTCTTATACCAGGATGCATGCCTTTCTTAAATTCTTTTGCATTAGCAAGTTCATCGAATACTAATAAATGCAGCTGGCACATTATCTATCCTCGCGCCCAATTCGTAGATTATAGAGAACTCAAGGGTTTTACAGAAAAAGTTATGGAATTAGTTGGAGAACCTTATGCCAAATTCATTGATGTTGGCCTTCCCAAATTACGTTTTAGTCTTCGACTTCTTGGATCGGCAAAAGAGGGACGCATAAAAAGACCTGCTATCTCTTCCGTAAATAAGGGATTTAAAAATTTAGATGATTACCTGGTTCAACCTAAAGAAAATTATTCTGTAATCTGGCCACGAACCTTTTCAGAGGAGAGGCCAGCAGAAGAGGAATACCAACCTATCGACGATGATAATGCCTTGGTTAAGGGAGCCAATTTAGTTATTACAAATTATGGGTGGCTCCAGATTGGAAGAATTGAGAAGGGATTTATCAACTTTCAAGCACAATATATTAAAAAATGCCCTATATGTGATGTTAAACATGAAAAAGACCAACTCTATGGATTTATTCGTCAAAATGGGCATTTCATACTTAAATGTTATCGTCAAAAACAATATAAGCCGGATCATAAAGGATTAAGCTTTGACAAGGTATCAGATAAAGTAGAATCGAAAGTGAAACCTAAATTAGGATTAGATAAACGAATAGTCAAAGCTGTGTCAAATCCTCATTTGCTTCCTGAATTATCTGGAGAAGTTATTAATGTAAAGGAAATGGAAGATTTTCCAGAAGCTTATCCCAATTTCTTGAGCAAAGAACCCAGTACAACTTTGATTCGCTCTCCTATGATGACAGGAAAAACAAAAGGTCTAAGAAAATATCTCAATTATTTAGCTAAGAATAAAGCTAATATGCCTTGCGTCATCTGGATTTCTTACCGAAAAACTCTTAGTAATGAATCAATGGGTAAAATTAATGATCTTAAATTATCCGGACTCAGAATCTGTAATTATCAAGATGAGCAGAGCTTGTCTATAAATAAGTGGGATATTATCATAGTTCAAGTTGAAAGTCTCTCTCGTATAGAATTCTCAGCCCGTCCAATTGTAGCTATTTTAGATGAAGTCAATGCAATTCAACGTCAAATGAATAGCAGTTCAAATGCGCGGGAATCTGAAAATGCAATGCGTGATGTGTTAAAATCGGCTCAACATGTTTTAGCCATGGATGCATTTGCAAATGAAAGTACACTAACATTTCTCAAGGCTTATCGTGGTGAAAATATTCGAGTAATTGATAATAAATTCCAACCGCTTATAGGTAAGACTGTTGAGTATCTTTATGACCCAAATAGTGGGGCTGAAGCTATGCGAATAGGGTTTGAGTATTTGAAGCATGGTAAACGCGTGGCATTTGTTGTAACAAGTTCTAATATGGCTCGAGCATTAGTAAAAGAAGCTTCTAAATTATCTTTCAAAGCTCGTGCCTATTATGGAGACATGGATGGAAAACAACGAAAAAAAGACTTTTTAGATATTAATACTGCTTGGGGCGAACTCGATTGTGTGGCTTATACAAACACAGTAGAAGCAGGTATTTCTTTCGAGAAACCTAATCACTTTGACATAGTTATAGGCATTACAAATATTGGAACTCCAGTTAATGTAGAAGCATTTATCCAGAAGATGTTCCGAATTCGTGATTGTGAAAAGCGTATACTTTCACTTTATTATCAAAAAATTTCTAGTGAATTTTTTCGTTCACCAGGTCATGAAAATATTCGGGCAGAACTTGCAGTTGCCCGGCCTAATGATTTGCCTACAGCAATTAAGGGACATCGTGAATGGGATATAGATAGCATTTCCTATAAACTTGATTAATCTCCCGCTGTAACATCATTTATTGAAGTTGAGTACCAGAAACGTCTTTCAACCAGAAATTTTATCGAGATTTCATGTAGCCTTATTGCCAGTACTGGAGCAAGTCTTAAATTAATAAAAATGGACGAAAATAAAGAAATTATAGGGAATCGTAAAAAAGTTCGTAATGAGATTAAGGCTGAAGCTTTAGTTATCAAGGATACAGATTTTGATGCAGTCGCCACTTCTCGAAATCTTACTCTTGAGGAAGCCGAATTTCTTAAACTCGATTCAGAACGTTCAGTTGCAGATACTATGGCACTTAAGCGTTTTTATATGTGGAACCTTTATGGTGGAAATGGTATGAGCATCGAGGATTGGAATAAACTCTGCGATAAAGATTTTGTAGAACGTTTTAGTCCACCCGAACCTAGAAAACATTTCTTGCGTCTATCTCATTTTTACAAGCAAGGTTATGATGAAGAGAGTGCAATAGAAGAATTAAAGGCCAAAGACATCGCACAATGGAAAGATACCTGTTATAATGCTAAAGATAATTTTGAGGATTCAGTAGCAAAAGATTTACGCAAAACATATTCAGCGAATCATTGGGAAGCTGTACGAGGGCTTTTACAGTTGCTTGGTTTTACGGGTATAGATGATAAACGCATTTTCTCTGATAATCAGGTAAAAGTTGCGTTTGAGGCATCTCATGAAAAATTTATAGAAATTCGAAGTCAAGCCTTATTGCTCTTTGGCTTTAGGTCTCGTGCAAAAGAAATACCAGATCTTAAATCAGCTATAAAGGCAATCAACGCAATTGTTGGTAATTGGTGTGGTTATACCATAAAAAGTGAGCGAAAATTGGTAGGATCTAAAGGACAACGGATTTGGAAATATTCATATCAAATTAATCGAAAGTCATATAATGGTCGTGGTTTTAATAATCAAGAAGAAGTAATAGCTAGAAAGTTAGATAATCCTGAATATTGCCCTATAGCTCCAGTTCTTCCATCATATAAGCCGAAGGTAAGTAATGAGATTCAGGATCTTTTTGAATACGTTGAGTATAAAATTTCTGACTCGTCTAGTAGGATGATTGATGAAAAAGGTTTATCTTTAGAAATGCCAGCTCATAATCAATCTTCTGATCTTTCCCAAGATAGATGCCATATTGATACTACTATTAGTAAAGCCAGGACAGTTGAGAAAAAAATACCCGAATCCTTAACTCCTCTATCTTCAGAATTTCTTATTAAAAATGAATCGGATATAGACACCCTTATCCTTCTTTTACAGCAAAAATTCCAAATATCTGAAAAAGGGTTAGAACAATGGCGAACCAAGATTACCTTTGAATTGCGGGATAATCAAAATTACTGGAAAAAAAAGCGCGAGAGTATGGACGAGATCGCTTTCTTGGAATATAAGCGAAATTTTGAGACTAAGATGGGTGTACCTACTACTCCGCACAAAAAAGAATTGAAAAATAAATCTTTGGCACTCATTGAATATGCGTAACTATTGTTTAAGATAATATCATCTAGTTTTAGTAGTAATTTCTGAAGCAGAGAGATTGCTACATTTAACTAGTTATTCATCTCAGGTAGGGGTTTTTTGTCATCTCTTACAATAAGTATGAGAAAAAATTCAAATAAAAAATTAATGTTTTTAATACCTAGATCATATAAAGGGTTTTTGTGTCGTGCGATTTTGGATGATAGGATTTAGATGACCAGACACTTATCAAAGCGGGGTTTTGGGTCGCGAAAAGTAGTCATTACCCGGAGCTAGTGTCAGCTGGAAGCTGGTTCACACCAAGACGCATAGTACCATTAAACAGATATCGAAAAAGTGATACGCAAAGGTAAGAAAAATCGAACTTTTATGTATCAAAAAAGATGATATATAAAGGTAAGAAAAAAATTGAGCTTTTACGTATCATTAGGTGGATATCAAAAAAGTGATACGCAAAGGTTAGCAAAAAAGTGATACGCAAAGGTTAGCAAAAAAGTGATACGCAAAGGTTAGCAAAAAAGTGATACGCAAAGGTTAGCAAAAAAGTGATACACAAAGGTTAGCAAAAAAGTGATACGTAAAAGTTAGCGAAAAAGTGATATGCAAAAGAATACATAGAAGTATGACTTGATTTTTTTTAGTATCTTATACTAACTTCACTAATGTAAAGTAGCAATATCCAAAGACTATCAACTATGCGAGAAGGGCTTCCAAAACTGAAAAATATAGTAAACTTTTGGTGATACGCAAAGGCAGAATATTATAAGGAAAGAGATAAGAAAAAATTGTGCTTTTACGTATCACTAAAAAAGAAGGATCAGATAGTAGAATTCAGATATAAAAAAAGTGATACGCAAAGGCAGAATATTATAAGGAAAGAGATAAAATAAATTTTTGCTTTTACGTATCATCGAGTAAGGGTAACAATTCGGCACTATGTGCCTCATCATCGGATGCTTTGGTGTCCGCCAAAAGTAAAATTATTACAGATACGACGTGAACTCAAATTCGTTGTCACTCAAATGACGATGCAAGCGTGAATCGTTCGTCACTCGAATGATGGAGCGAATACTAATATATCTCTGACGACACAAGTGCGAATCGTTCGTCACTCAAATGACGACGCAAGCGTGAATCATTCATCACTCGAATGATGGAGCGAATACTAATATATCTCTGACAACCCAAGCACAAATCGTTTGTCACTCGAATGACGACGTGAACTCAAATTCGTCATCACCCAAATGATGGAGCGAATATTAATATATCTCTGACGACGCAAGTGCGAATCGTTCGTCACTCGAATGACGGAGCGAATACTAATATATCTCTGATGACGGTGACGCATTTCTGTCATCACAACACTGACGACGGTGATGCATTTCTGTCGTCACAACACTGACGACGGTGATGCATTTCTGTCGTCACAACACTGACGACGGTGATGCATTTCTGTCGTCATACCTGAGTGGGAATAACCTAGACTAAGTGGAAATAATATAATTATATTATTTCCACTCCCTTCATGCTTTTACATCCTGATTCTCCTTCACCCCTCCCTATACTAGTACTTGCCTTGAGTTGGGAGGTTGAGTTTTCATTTGATGGGCCCACAGCTACTCTCAGGAGCGATTAGGAGCTATAGCTCCTGCTTGGCTTCTCTCTATTTTTTCCAAACGGCTCAGAATTTGCTCCAGCATATTTTCGAGGCCTAAATTTGTCTCTCTGGCAGCATTTGTTTGGTTTGTTCTTTGGTTGTTACAGCACTCTGCTACTGTATTATTTTCTTTGTTTGCTATTGCTCTTTTTGTATTAGACATATCTTTAAATATCATATGACCTGATTTGCAGTTTTTTGTCATACTGTCTTCGCTTCTGCTCTCTTTACTCTTTTTTGGCCTTATCTTTTCTTTACATCTACTCTCTCCCCATTCTAGCTTCGTATTATAGTAGTATACCTCTTTTTTAACTGCCCTCTCTAGGTCATCACTTGTTTCGAAATACACTGATGCTGTGCCTCTCTGGTTCTTGTTGCTATTAAAGGATATGTATACTGCCTGTGCTTTCACTACTCTTAACTGCCTTAATAGTAGAGTTTCTATTGCTGTAGGTGGGATATTTCTTGCGATAGCTTTATGATAAGCTCGTTTTTCTAATATTTCCTTTTCAAATTTACCCGGTGATAGTCTTAATGTTTTCTTTTCTTCAAAGTGGACTGACCATGCACACCTTAGAACATCTCTTCTTCTTTCATTCCAGAACTAAATCGAGAAGGCTGCAGCTTTGTTGTTGCTATAAGGCTTCTACTGAATAAAACTTATCTTGCTAAAAAACTGTAAACATTTTTTCACTCTTGCTGTATGCACCTTAGATGGTATATCCCATATTGTATAAATTTTAGGTAGTGTGTCATCTTCATTTTGCTTCGATTTTCTACCATCTCTACTTTGGTGTTTCTCACTACTCACTTCTTTGTCTAGTATCATCAAGTTTTTGTCTTCTATAGCTTTGGTTTGTTGTTCCGTTGTTGGAATATTTCCTTTTTCACTTTTGGTACTATGTAGAGGGTTATTGATGTTGTTATTACTTTGATGACTCGATTCTTCTTCCTCTTTCTTAGCAGATATACTACTTTTTGCTATAATGTTTAAATGTTCACTATGTTGTACATCTCTAATACCATAATCCATATAACCACACTCTAACTTTAACATGCTTTCAATGTCAAAACTTTTTGACTTGTTTGTTGCACTTACACTTGCGCTGTGAACTTCTTTATCTCTTGACTTTATGTAGTCACAATAGTCATATGTCTCAACCAGAGTTCTAAACAAGCATACTGTTAGTGGCTCTGTATTACATAGTTCTGCTATAATTTTGTCCTTGTCTAGCACCATGTTCTTGTATGTTTTCAATACTACTTTCTGCTTCTCAGCTGTCATTTTAAATAAGTTTTGATATCTCTCTAGTTTTTCAAACCAATTAATTTCTACAGATGTTATTGAATTATCTGTCATCTTGCCTATATACGACGTTTCTAGAATAATTGTGTCTATATACCTCACGTATCTGCTCAGATGCCGATTTGTTTATTTGTTTGTATACAAAACTTTACGTGTTTGTTGTTTTGTTTATCTGCTTGACTTGTTGTTATACACTTGTATTTATGTGTTCAGTTTAGGGATCTGCAATACAGGGTCAAGGGTATTTCCCACTTTTTCTCTAAAAAACTTCTAAAAAAAAAGAGTTTTTGTTTAATAGTTGGTGTCAGAGTTGGTTTCTTTGCTTATACGTTCTATTAAACTATGGCTTGTTTTCTCTGTGCTTTCTTTTTGCTTAGTATGTATTTGAAGGTTTACTAGTGCAGAAGATGGATTCCCTTATGTCAAGAAAATCGATATACAAAAATTAGCTCGGAGCCAATAAAAATTGCAGAATTTTGCAGATCTTGCAGATCTTAACGTAAATCTAAACAAACGCTAAAAATAAAGAAATCATAAATAAAGCAAAATTTTACTATGGAAACCGGCCTTAATTTCTAAGTAAAAAATGCGTAGCATTGAATTTTACTTATAGAAAGAGTTTTTTATACTAAAATAAACAATATATGGATATAATATTATCAAAATTGGGTGTTATATCGGATGTAGATCATTTTCTTGACATAAGGAAACTCGCAGAAGATGCTCTATATAGTAGTTGCTTCTTCACCAAATTTTGTGTCAGAGAATTAGCGAAAAGAGTTCTGTTTTATGATTAAAGAATTTTTTAATAAGTAAACCTTTCTTTTAGCTCTAAGAAAAGTTATAGAGGAGATTTTTCTGGTTCTAATAGTGGTTAGATATTAAAATTAGCCTGGTAAATCCCAAGATATTTGGGTTAAAAGTATAAACATAAAGATTTACAAATTTACTGTTATATGAAGTTTACTTATTAGTTTTAGGGTTAGGGTTAGAATAATATTAAATTTTAAAACTAAAGTTAGGGTTATATATATTTTTATATTATTATCTAAAAATAAAAAATCTTGTATAACTATAGTAAAAATAGCAAATTACCATTAGTGTTTGTAGTTGACTATTATTTATTAACTTAACTAAGTCGATATTTAAAAATTAGCTTAGCCGGCTAAATCAGAGTTAATTATTTCTAGTTCTATTTGATTAACCTTTGAATGTTATCAGAGATTTTCTCAAATTTTTGTCAATCTTGCTTATATTTTATGTTTGTTGATTTTTTTTTTAGAAAATTTCAGATTTTACTATAAACTGGCCTAAATTTTTAATATAATCTATATAACCTATCATAGAGTCAACTAAGTCGATTTTTTGAAAAATCGACTAACTAAGCCAGCTAAGCTGATTTTATCGACTAATGCAAAATTGACTACAAACACTAATTACCATGGTGAAAATAGCAATTCTTTATATTAATTATTGTTTTGTATTTTTTTTTTTAATAAAAAATTAAATTATTTAAAAAATTATAATAAAAATTTAAATAATAAATATATAATATTAATAGTATATTAATTTACAATCTATATATTTTAGATTACAACTTAAGCATATCTAATAACTAATTAATAAATAATATATATTATCTAACTATCTTTAATCAAAGTTTTAAAGAATTATAAAATATCTATTAAAATAAAAGCTATATTAAAATTTTTAACAAAACTTTGACCAAAGATATCTTAGCAACTATTTAATTAAATTAAGCAAAATTTTTTTATTTAAATTTTATAGATCTATAGAGTTTAAATAAAAAATTTTTATTTGTTTTGATAAAGTAATTGCTAAGTTATCTTTAATCAAAGTTTTAGAAAATTCTAAAATATCTATTAAATAAAAAGAAACTATATCAAAATTTTTAACAAAACTTTGATTAAAGATATTTTTTTAGCAACTACTTAATCAAATTAAATAATTTTTTTTTTATTTAAATTTTATAGATCTATAGAATTCAAATAAAAAAATTTTCATGCAATTTAATCAAGTAGTTGCTAAGATATCTTTAATCAAATTTTAAAAAAGTATAAAACATCTATTAAAATAGAAACTATATTAAAATTTTTAACAAAACTTTAACCAAAGATAACTTAGCAACCATTTAATTAAATTGAATAAAATTTTTTTATTTGAATTTTATAGATCTATAAAATTTAAATAAAAAAAATTTTATTCAATTTGATTAAGTGGTTGCTAAGAATTTTTAATCAAAATTTTAAAGAATTCTAAAATATTTATTAAAATAAAAAGAAGCTATATTAAAATTTTTAACAAAACTTTAATTAAAGATATCTCAACAATTACTTAATCAAATTGAGTAAAAATTTTTTTATTTAAATTCTATAAATCTATAGAATTTAAATAAAGAATTAGAGGTAGCACAAATCTTCGATGGTACTACTGTAAAGACTAGACCCAGGAAAAGAAAACTGAAGTGAAAGAACCGGACAGAGCACGATC